AATAGATTAATACTACTTGCAGTGAGTAGTGAAGTGGGAGATTGGGTTGACCCAAATATACTATAAATAAACCGTACTGTTCTGATTTGTTCTGTTCTCTTTTGTTTTCCTTTAAATTATTTATAGGTTTTAAAAGTTATTTTCGTGCTTGTTGAGATTTATTTTTTTCCTTACCTTCAGCGTGTTATAAGATGGATTGCTTAGTTGAAGCCAGATGCCTATTTGAACGCTGATTTTGATCAAGCAGCGCGGCACGATGGCACATATACAATATATTGAGACATAGACGGCACCGAATAATCAAAACTTTGCGCTTGTTTAACGCACTTTTTCTTTTGGGTGCCGTCTTGGCACACAAATGACCAAGATAAACGCAATTGAAATCTTCCATCGCATCGTGTAGGCTTACTCTTGAGTGAACTTTTCGCGTTTTTGTCATATATACGGGTGCAATGACAGGCGCTCATCTCGTATGGCAAGTAGATTTCGCCCACGCGTTCCCATAATATCTTTGCTAGGCACGCCTGCGCGACAATTTCTTTGTCCATATAACATTCGCAGCAAATTGATGCGTAAGCTTTTTTTTTGGCGTGGAATACACACGTACCTGTGAAAAAATGGTTTTTGCACACTCTGGCTTCAACGTTCTGTATTCAAAGGCTACCTGTCACTGTGGCTCTCTTCACAGCCGCGGCCCACCCCACTTTTCTTTCTTGGTTATATGAGAATTGATACCTGCGCTTGCCTTTCACGCCTACGTTGGAGCAGCGAACGGCCGAACAACCGACAATGATTTATCAGGACGAAGATAAACGGGCAACCGTGCGCATGAATCCTGAATAATGTGAGGCTTGCGGCGAAGCTGTTCGCCGTCATCTAATCTTCTCGAACCGGAAGCCGCTAGCAGACGGGGCATCCCACAATCCCTCGCTCTTTTACTGGTAACCCATTTAGCTGGCGAAACTAAAATCGACGCACCAAACAGCGGATCTACCATTCACTTAGACAACACGCTCAAAGACGACACTGTTACCCTCGCATTGGGGGATAAGAATAAGCGAGCGTCGATAAGCCGCCCCGGAGCGAAGGGTCTCAATTGGCGGTTGATAACGACGAAGAAACAATATCGTCACGCAGGACGTTGTCGAAGTGAATGGTAGATGCGATTTCGGTTTCTACAGCTAACTTACGCTTTTACATTGCTGCGTGGTCATTACTCATGGCTGCTTTTCCAAACTATTATAGTGGCTATGGGCTATTCCGAAGAAGGTCTTGATTGCAATTATTTGACTGTACCGGCTATCACTACTGGTTAAATTGATTAATTGATTGATTTATATGTGAGGTTTAACGTTCCAAAATGACCCTGCGATTATGAAAGACGCCGTAGCGGAAGGCTCCAGAAATTTCGAACACCTGGGTTTTTTAACGTGCACCCAAATTTTAGAAAATGGACCGACTGGTTAAAAAGTGCATTGTGTCACTTCTCTAACTACTGCCGTAATTCATATTTGTACACATCCGAAGTGCCTTCTGCCAAAGGAAAGGCAACCCGCAAATAGCACGCATATACCTCCTTTCTGTGATTTTTGAATATTTAACCTATTTCGTAAAACATGATATATATATATATATATATATATATATATATATATATATATATATATATATATATATATATATATATATATATATATATATATATATATATATATATTGAGTTAACTTGCAGATAGCACATAAGAAAAGGATCGCATTTACTAACGTTCGGCCGTGGCACGGCCTTCGTCAGATATATATATATATATATATATATATATATATATATCTTGTTTTCATATATATATATATATATATATATATATATATATATGAAAGTAGATGCGCTTTCACATAACAACTGTTTATTGTGCCGACGTTTCGACAGGAACCTCGTCTTTTTCAAGGCATTAGGCCTTGAAAAAGACGGGTTTCTGTCGAAACGTCGGCACAATAAACAGTTGTTATGTGAAAGCGCATCTACTTTCATATTTATAACCTTGCGGCAACCAAAGTTAATCTTGTTCATATAAGCCTTATATATATATATGAACCGTAGGTGGATGTAGACGGACAGTTGGCTTCGTTTTCAGTGTTGACAGTGGTTCTTCCTGTTTTTTACTTTCTTTCTTTTCTTTCTTTTTTCGTCTTTTTTCTCTCTTTTTTTTCCTTCTTCCAGTTCCCTCTCACTCTCGCAAACGTCTTTCAAGGCGAGAGGGACGCGGCAGCAAGGAAGTTCATGTCAGTATAACTCATCCCCTGATGAAGGGAGGTCCCCTCCCGAAACTGTTGGGAAATAAATATATTTATCCTTGTTGACAACGCTCCCGTTGTGCCATATCCCATACCTTCACGAAGACTAACTGGCCCATTGAATTATTACTCCCACTATATATATATATATATACATATATATATATATATACATATATATATATATATATATATATATATATATATATATATATGTAAATATAATTGCAGAGAATAAATTCTTAGACGCCGGTAAATAGTATGAAGAAAAAGAAGACACACGTCGAAAAACAGAAAGGTTTCTTTACGTTTCGGCCGTGGGACCTGCCTTCGTCAGAATAACAGAGGTAGCAGTGGTGCAACAGCATATAAGCGCATACGTTTCGCTTGCCATAATCACGTGAGTGGAAACGTCATAAAAACAAGTACAAGAATCAGACATGAAATTTATATGGGGGCCCCGGTATCACATCCTACTTATAAGCAATCAAATAACAAGTCATGACATGTGCACAAAGATTACAGTTGGTACAAGCAACATCTACAGCGGTCACTGATGCAAGACGCTGAGTTTCCCCGTACTCTCATTTAAACCACCTGCGATTGTATTGAACTTAAAGATGAGAAATGATTCGCGAACTTTCCTGTCATGATGCGTTCGGAAGGCACACTCCAGAATCGTGGCTCTAATGTTGTCAAATGAGTGGCCCATTACGTTAGCATACTTTGATATTGGAAGGTGAGGAAGTGAAGAGATATGAGCCTTGTGATTATTAAACCGTTATCGAAAGGGTGTTTCGGTTTCGCCTAAGTACTGCATTCCGCAGATCAAGCAATCCAGGAGGTAAACTACATTACGCGTGTTGCAGTTATAGTCACCATTTATTTTCAGGCTGAAGTTAGATGCGGTGCTGTTTGCGATAAGTGAAGTGGTCATATGCTGGCAGACTTTGCAACGAGGTTTGTTGCAAGGACGGCAGCCAGTAGGTTTACTGCGTACGCTTTTTGACGACATGAGTAGGTCACGGAAAATTTGGGCTCTTCTGTACGTCACACGCGGTGTTTCTTGGAAAATTGATTTAAGTCGTTCGCTTTGTAGAAGTATGTTATGGTGTTTTCTTAAAATGGAATTTACGTCTACAAAACTGCGCGAAAAATCGACAAGAAACGGAGAAGGCACACACACAAGCGCAGACTAGCAACTGACAGTTTATTGAAAGAAACACTTATATACCTAAAGAAAAAATATGACGTGAAAGATTAGAAGTTGGCAGTGAGATAATCAATCTCTAGTTGGTGCAAAGTCACCGAAGGCCTCGCAACACACGTGTCGCCATACTTGTGTATATAAAAAGCCTCCGCAACTTCTCTCGCTGTCCTATCCCTGTGCCGGGACAACACCCTTGTTTCGTGAAATAAAGGGGAACACTTGCAATCCCTGCAATGTAGGCATAGATTCGACGAAGGGTGGGCCTTCAGCGATGCCCGGTGATCCATTAGTCGGTTGTTCAAACATCTTCCAGTTTGCCCAATATAGCACCTACCACATGATAAGGGGATAAGATACACCGCACCAATTCCACACTCAACAAACGTTTCCCGGTGTTTGACCTCACAAACATACCACTTTTTTTCTTTTCCTTTATTCCCCTTTATTTCAGTGTTCCCCTTTATTTCACGAAACAAGGGTGTTGTCCCGGCACAGGGATAGGACAGCGAGAGAAGTTGCGGAGGCTTTTTATATACACAAGTATGGCGACACGTGTGTTGCGAGGCCTTCGGTGACTTTGCACCAACTAGAGATTGATTATCTCACTGCCAACTTCTAATCTTTCACGTCATATTTTTTCTTTAGGTATATAAGTGTTTCTTTCAATAAACTGTCAGTTGCTAGCTGCGCTTGTGTGTGTGCCTTCTCCGTTTCTTGTCGATTTTTCGCGCAGTTTTGTAGTCATGATTTACCAACTCGCCCAGCGTTCAGTACTCTTAAGGAATTTACGTGTTGCGCAGGCGCGGCGTAATAACTTTGTCAGGGACAAAGGTATTACGCCTCATACTCCCCCGATAAGGCATACCGCTGAACTTTCTTCGAAATCTATTAACTCCACACCTCTAGGTGACCCCCTATCATCACGTAACGTAGTCAACCTGTCTTCCTATAAACTTTCTGCTGATGAAATTTTACTATTGTCACGAGGACTCAATTTTTGCCCAGTGACAGGCGGTTTTAGTGAATTCAAGCTGATGAAGGATTTGGACACTTTTACCAGAAATTTAAGACAGAAATTTAAGGCCAAGCTCGTCCTCGAGTACCTGGAAGACCAGCGACAACTGGTCGCCAGGGCCAAGAGGGCAGTCGAAGCCAGAGGGTTTCTGGACTAGGGGACCCTCCCACCTTAGCGTGACACCGGGTCTTGCTCGGAACACTGTTTTTAAATAAACGTTTATTCCTCTCTCTTCCTTCAATGAACCTATGCACCTACATGGCGTAGTGTTTCCCTGGCAATGCCAATCTGAAGTGCAATAGGAATGACACAGAAGGCTTAAAAACGTCGCGTGAGATCTTAGGTTTCATCTGCTTTCGCTAACTTTCCTTTGTTTTTACCATACACGCGATCTACAACGAGCCTGCACTAGTTTCATCCCCCATCCTAAAACTATGGTGTTGTATATGTGCTCGCAGAGAAAAACGGCCGGTGCTACCTTACCAATTTGGCGTACCCTGTCGAGTCCAAGACCATGTTTTCTGGCTTGAGGTCTCGGTACACGATGTTTTTGTCGTGGAGATACTGCAGCGCTTCCAACACGCAGCCCGTGTAAAATCTTGTAGTGTTCTCGTCAAACGCTCCCCTGGAGGCAGCAAGAAGAAACGCCACGTAAGAAGGGCATGCAACAACTATTCAAGAGGAAAAACATTTTTATTCTTAGGCGTGAAGCAGGAATGGTCTAGATCCGTACTTTCACCAACCATGTATGATAAGAACTTCTGTAGCACATTGGCGTTCGCATGGCTACACATCACACGATGTTACGAGTTTTAGCGGCATAAGCTCCGGGAAATAAAGATGTTCTCGTAACCACGATGTTTGTTTTAAAAATACATGGTCATGGAGGTTGGTGAGCTCAAATTTTAGCCTATGCACACAGTTTCCAATAACCCTATGTAGTAGGTATAATCAGCTATGTATATCCAGTGGCCGAAAGCTCCCTATACGTCCAATGTATACTCTCGGCAGCGGCGATGCAATCTATAAATGCTGGCGAACCTGTTGGCGATATGTTGGCGAACCTGTTGTTCTATCTTAAGGGAACCACCAAATCATGGTATGAGAACCATGAAGCAGAACTTGGGAGTTGGGCAATGAGCAGGGAGAAAATGTCGAACCTGTTCGGGAAGCCAATTGGAACAAAATGACCGTGAACAAAAAGCTTGCGTCTCGGGCGCAGACTTCGACGGAGTTGTATGTCTCGTATACAGATGTGTTAGCATTGTGTCGCAGAGCCAATGCCGAGATACCGGAGGTTGGCAAGGTCGGACATATTCTTAAGGGGATTGTGGACGACGCATTCAACCTCCTCATCTGCGAAAATTATTCTACAGTGGGCGCCATTATAAAGAAATGTCGACGCTTTTAGCAAGCAAAGAGCCGGTGGATTGACAGCATGTTTGCCCGCATTTCGAATACGGCTGCAATGTAGTCTTCTGAAGACCGTGCAAGAACACAGCCGCCACCTTTAGTTTCATTGGTACCCCGCCGCGGTGCTACTCGGCTGCTGACGTGCTGGTCACGGGATCGAACATCGGCTACGGTGGCTGCATTTCCGATGGAGGCGGAAATGTTGTAGGCACGTGTTCTCAGGTTTGGGTGCACATTAAAGAACCCCAGGTGGTCGAAATTTACGGAGCCTTCCACTACGGCATCTGTTATAATCATGTGGTGATTTGGGGATGTTAAACCCCAAAAATCAATCAATCAATCTAGTTTCATCAGATCAGGTGACCGGAATTTTACGGCACGAACTTGAAGCCATTGCCCCTGCTCCAGCTCACACTGCTGCAAGTGACGCGATCCCACTCGCTGCTAACATGGTTCAAGCCATCTTCCGCCAAGAACTCGCCAGCATAGGTATTCCCCCGGTGTGCGCTTTGCCCAGCCTGCAGCGAGCTCCATGGCGTCCACCCTTGTCCTATCACGAGCAGCAGTTTACGGCCCGATCTCGCGACTCTGCTGCGTAGAGAACGGTCGACAATCGACCAATTTTTTTTGCCACCGTATCAGTCATGTTCTCTGTTGCTGCAAATACCACTGGTGTTCGCCACCTCGGACGTCATCTGAACATCCCTACCGACAGAATAGCACCCGCTTTGCATCTGCCGCACAGCCTTCTTCGCCAAACAACTGCAGAAGGTTCAACCGCCTATCTTCGTCACCGCATTGTCGTCAGTCGCGTTCGCCTCCAGGACGTCGCCAGTCGTCTCGCTCACCGCAGACTCGCAGGCCATTGTCCCCATTCGACCCCGCTCCTGCTTACCCGGAAAACTAAATGGTGCAGTGCCCAGAGGTCACACTGCACTTTCGACTCCCTCCCCAAATCTTCTCTTGGCGCTTCCGACGAGACAAAGTTTGTCAGACGTTGACGTTGATAGTGTGACTAATTCTGCCCTTATAGATAGTGGAGCCCACATTTCTGTAATGAGCGCGAAACTTCGCGGGCGCCTACAGAAAGTGCTCACGCTTGGCACTTCCCGCACATTTCGAGTCTCTGATGGGAGAAACCCTGCCGTTCAAGGGATGTGCATGGCCCGTGTGTCCATTACCGGTCATTCTACATTAGTTCAGTTTGTCGTCATTGAAATGTGTCCTCATGACCTAATACTTGGCTTGGACTTCCTGTTACGCCATTCTGCGCTCATTGATTGTGCCACTGCTTCTCTTCAGCTTGAGCTTCCACAGCTTACCAATTTTCCAGCTGATCGTTCTCCACGTTTATGCTCTCGTCCTCACGTTCGCTTGCCACCACAAGCTGCTACGCATGTCACTTTGTCGTGCTCACGTGATGTGCCCGATCGTGACTACCTCGTCACTCCTGTAGTCGACGTACTGATGGCCCGAGACCTCACCCTTGCTAACACTGTTGTCTCCATCACTGATAATACAGTGGTTATACCCCTAGTCAAAGTCAGTCTCTTGACTCATGTTATTCCGCAAGATATGTCTTTCCCGCCCTCTTTCTGTTTGACAGCTGCAATGTTATTGGTTTGAACACCTATGCTACACCTCCCTGTCTTGGCCACAATTACACTCAGCCTGCCGATGACATTAAAAAGATGATTGCTCCCGATCTCACTCCCGCGCAAGCTGCTGGCCTCCATCGTCTGCTAGCATCATATAAAGACATTTTCGACTTTGACCACCACCCTCTCGGTCAAACAACTGCAGTGACTCACCGGATCAACACTGGTGATGCCAGTCTTATACGGTGGTGTATATATCATGTATCTCACAAGGAACGCCAAGTAATTCAGAATGAAGTGTGCAAAATCACTCCTAAAGACGTCATAGAACCATCATCCAGCCCCTGGGCTTCTCCAGTCGTGCTCGTTGAGAAGGATAGCTAGCAGCTGGCGCTTTTGCGTTGACTATCGCCATTTAAACAAAGTCACTCATAAAGACGTCTACTCTTTGCCTCGGATTGATTACGCCCTCGATTGCCTACATGGTGCCCAATACTTTTCGTCTGTCGACCTTCGGTCCGGCTATTGGCGAATTTCTGTCGACCCCATGGTTCTCAATAAAACTGCTTTCGTTACGCCCAACGGCCTCTACCAGTTCAAAGTAATGCCATTCAGACTATGTAATGCGGCTGCAACTTTCTAGCGCATGATCGACTTCCTTCTCCGAGGATATAAGTGGTCCATCTGCTTATGTTACTTAGATGATGTCATCGTCTTTTCACCTAGCTTTGACAGCCATATCACATGTCTGTCAGCCATTCTAGATGTTTTTAGAAGAGCTGCTCTTCAGGTCAATTCTGTGAAATGTCATTTCGAACATCGCTAAATCACCATACCGGGCCACCTTGTCAGTGCCACTGGTGTTCAACCGGATCCCGACAAGGTGTCAGCAGTACAAGAATTTCCTGAACCACGTTCAACCAAGGACGTCCAAAGTTTTGTAGGGCTATGTTCCTACATTTGTCGAGTTATCCGCAACTCTTTTTCACAGAGGTAGTGGTGAAGCAAGACATTTTTTATGTTGTGTAATAGTTTCCTTCTGGCTTCGATAGTGACCGGCTAGCATAACTGATAACCCTTTCTTCTCCATTGGTCTTCTGCACAAGGATGGCGCAGGGACCTACGCTGCTTGCGTTGGTGTGAATTTCCGTATTGGCGTATTCTTCAGAAAGCTCAAGTATCGGAGGGGTCTCCAGGCGTTATTTCAGTTTTTGAAACACATCAATTTGCACCGTTCTCCAATTGAAATCGGCGTCGGTCTTCATAAGCTACGTTAGTGACTCAGCGATCTGTGATAAGTCCTTGAAAAGGATCTGTAATAGGCGCACAAACCTAGAAATTGGCGCACGGCCTTCTTGTCGGTGGTTAGCGACAAAGTGGTGACAACAGCAGTTTTTACGTGTCTGAGCGCACTCCACCATTGCTTATAGCATGACCCAAAAACAGAAGGTCATTGTACGCGAATTCCCATTTCTTTGGCGTTAGGGCGAGTCTGTTGCTTGATGTGCAGATTCAAGGCCTTGTGGGTGTTCATCGAAGCTTAAGGAAACCACAACCTTGTCATCCAGGTCAAAGAGGCAAGTCTCCCACTTCAAGCCAGCCAGTACTGTATTCATGACTCGTGGGAAAGTCAGAGGTGACGATCAAAAACTAAAAGTCAGACGTTTGAAGTCGAACAGGCCATCTGGTGTTGCGAAAGCAGCCTTTTCTCGGTCTTTCGCGTTGACTTCGATTTGCCTATAGCCGGTCTTGAGGTCCATAAAAAAGTACCTCGAAAATCAGAGTCAATCTTGGGTGTCGTCTATCCGTGGGAGGGGTTACACGTCCTTCTTCGTAAATTTGTTCAGGCGGTGATAGTCAACGCATAAACGTACAGTTCCATCCTTCTTCTTCACGAATACCACTGGTGACGCCCATGAAATTTTTTAAGGCTGAATGATGTTGTCATGTAGCATTTGGTCAACGTGTTTCTTTATAGCTTCGCATTCTCAAGTGAATTTTTCGTGCGGGCTTGACGGAGTGACCTGGTAGTTCTGTTATGATTCAAAGCTTTTAATTAGGGGTCTGTCAAGTTTTTGACGATGACAGAAGCAGTTTTTAAATTTCAGAGGCAGGTTTCTCAGCTGTTCTTGTTTGGGCGTCGGAACGCTTGAATTAACGCCCAATGCTGGCTGAAGGGTTTTAGTCGTCGAAGTAGATTCAACAGAACCGGTGAGGGCGAAAGCTTTGCTGACTTCCAGTATTTCGTCTATGTAGGCAACCGTCATACCTTTGCTCAGCAGCTTTTACTAGTTGCTGACGTTCGCGAGTGTAACTCTTTACTTACCTCCTCACAACTTGACTATTCCTCTGGCGACGCGAATTCCGCGGCTAATCAACAGGTACTGGTTACCTTAGGCGACATCTTCCATGTCTGTAGATTCTTCAGTGCCGAAGGAAATGATGACACTGGATCGAGGAGGAATGGTGACTTGCTCTTCCAGCACATCCAAGGCGTACCTTTCTGACGGCGTGTCCCATAGCAGTGTTTTTTTGTAGATAGCATTGTTGACTCCGAACTCAGGTCACTATTGGCGCCACGGTGACTTAGGAAGTTCATGCCAAGTATGACATTCCTGGAGCAATGATGCAGTACTCAAAGCTCGTCGGATAATTTCGGTAATTAGGGATACCCTTCCTGTGTGAACTCCCACCGGCGTTGTCAGGTGGCCTCCAGCTGTGTGAATTTCGGGTCCATTTCAAGCGGTCATTACTTTCTCCAGCTTAGCGGCGAACGGCCCATTGATGATGGCATAGTTGGCTTCAGTGTTGACGAGAGTGGTGACGTGTTGTCCGTCAATCAAAAAGTTTAGGTCACTTAATCTTCATCTTGCCTTACAGTTGGGTCACGGCGTTGGATGACAGCTACGTTGGTTTGCTCCGCTACATCCACGTTGCGTCGTGAGGTCTTCTTCTAACCGCGAAGTTTTGACGTCGGAGCTGCGTACGGGTTCAGGAAGGTTCTTTTTTCGTCACGTAATCGGTGGCAGAGCATCTTCGGTAGTTGGTCGTACAGCAGCCGCACCTCCATTCGTTGCTGCCCTTAGTTCTCCGAGGAAGTGCTCAAAGATCCACCCCAAGCAGGGCTGGCACACTGCCTGCGAGGCGGTGACTCTTAGCGGCCTGGTGACGGTGAACGGTAAGGTAGTCGGGGTGTCGACTGCGCGTCTGCGAGATAGTGGGCTATGTCGTGTGGTCGTTAACCCTACTGTGGGCACAGCGCGTTGACGTCGCGACCCCGTTTACCCATCTGTCGGTACTGGCAACGGCGGTAGGTGTGGCCGGCTTTACCGCTTTGGTAGCCAAGCAGGTGGTTCTCAGGGTCGTGCCAAACGTTGTTTTTTGTGATGCGCTGCGCTGTCCAGCAGACGAATGGTAGGGTGTCGGTTGTGGTGGTGGAGGTGGCATTTGGTGACGGAAGTGGAACGGGGTGGCGTCTTGATGTGGGCGTGCAGGAGTGTTGCGGTACCGTGGAGCGGCGTACCCCATATTTTCCGGCCTAGGTAGTGGTGCTTCGGGAATTCAAGAAATTGCCGGACTTCTTCGTGGACGATTTCGGTGGTTGAATTCAGTTGAGGCTGTGGTGAAGGTAGTAACTTGCGCAGCACCTCGCGCACTCTCGCTCTGATTGTTTCGCGTAGGTAACTGGTGCCTAAGTGAGTGCGATTTGGCGTAGCATGTAGGCAGGGCTAGGTAGTTGTATTGCTTCGTTCGTACGTCCAGTTATTTTCTGTTGTAACCTCTGTGAGGAATTCAGCGACCGTATAGGGTGGGTTGCGGACAAGTCCTGCGAACATTTATAGTCTCAAACCTGGCATAAGCAGACAAACTTTTTTTTCAGTCATAGAAGCGTCGGGCTGGCAGAAAATTCGAATAACCTATTCCGTGAAAATTGTAGCATTTTCCTTTGGTAGCTGCCCGCAAGTCTCCAGCAAAGCAGAGGCCCTTTCTTTGCAGGAGATGCTTATGATCGTTTCCAGCAATGTACCACGGAAGACATCTCAGGTTTGAAGTGCACACTTCTCTATTCTTCAATCAGGTACTTGCTGTGTCTTCGAAGTAAAAGTAGACGCGACGCAGCTTTTTTTTCCGAATCCCACTGGTTGAAGGCACACACTCGGTCGTATGTCTACAACCAAGTCTCCGGGTGATGAAATAATGATCCGCGGAATGTCGGTGGCTCCCTCGGCTGCTGCATTCTATGGGCTATCGTAGTTGTTGCAGTAGTGGTCATGGCCTTGGGCTTGCGAGTCTGATCTAGTAGAAGAACAATTCTCTGGATGTATCCCTCGTTGCCTGCACCTGGCTCACTTATCGAGGTTGGCGTCGACGTCTTCTTCCCGATTGGACTTGGCTCACAGCTATAGGGGGCGTTAGGGACATAGACCGGGAAGCACCTTCACCAGATGTCATGGGGTCGTGACGTCGACGAAGAGAGCAGACTGCAGTTCAAAGATCAAACTGTTTATTTGTCCGAACTTGTGGCCAGCTGTGGAAATGTCACAATACAGTGATACACACTGGCACTTGTGTCGCCCGTGGATCAATAAACAAGTGGCGAAGCGCGTCGGCATTTATACATGTGCCGTATAACACGTGTGGAGGAAGTCGCCATTGCGCTAGTTGCTGCGGACCAGGACTCGCGCGCTATCATTACCGACTTGAGAGGGGCCTGTAGAAATATTCAAAGCGTGTATGTCCCATACTTGTTGTACCGTATCTTACAAAATAGCAAATACGTCGGGGCCCACGCATCCGTAGCATCATATGGGCTCCAGCTCACACGGCCCCGAAGACAATGAAACGGCAGACGCTGCTGCCCGCACGCTTACTCTCCGGGTAACGACTTCAGACCTTTCCGAAATCCCGAACCTAAGCAGGCCTTAACATTTTGAGAAATTACTGAATTCTATCGATTCGGCCATGCAAATTATCCTAAACTCTCTAAAGGCCTTACAAAGGCAGAAGAGCGCTTATTCCTCCGCCTTTACACCAACACACTGCTGCGTGCGGCCGTTTCAAACTATTTAGATCTTGCCTGTACATGAAAATGCGCGAACTGTGCGAAGAAGTCTTCCGACGTCTTCCACATGGTGTGGGCATGCCAATCAACTCCGCGCATCACCCCAACACCAAACACTACCAGAGAGGACTGGGAGGCAGCTCTCCTCAGCTTTTCCGACCTGGTGAGCCAGAAGGCTCTGGTAAACCGTACTCGAGTCGCGTTGGCTGCCAGTGGACTTCTGTAACGAGGAGCCTACCTAGTGCGTGTGAGGTGCGGCCCACTCCGGGTCATCTCCCTCGTACTGCCTGTATTTATATTGTAAGCACATTTGAAGCACTCCATCGTTCTCACTTTTACATACCCATCACCATCGTTCCCTCTTGTTGTTCTGAGCCAGGGGAGACATTGCGAAATAAACGCTTCTGCTTGCCCTGCCTGGTGAACTCTGTCTATGTCTTTCAATGTAAATACTAAAGTTTTTATCTCTCTCTCTTTCTCGGTCGAATACTTACCTACTGTCACTGGTCGCCGCGCAAACTCTGGAATAATCCCGAGTTTTAGCGTCAGTGGCATTCGTGAGTGGGAGGGGGAGGAGAACCTACTTCACTCGTCAGCTGGGTTATATATAATAATATATATATATATATATATATATATATATATGCAGGCTCACCTGTCTCTGAGCAGCGACCAGACCTCCCCACCGAGACAGGCCTCCATAAGCATGTAGACGTACTTCTCGTCTCGGAACGTCTTGTACATGCGACAGATGAACGGGTGGCGACTGCTCATCATGAGCGCCTTTTCGCTCAGCACGTGCTCCTGCTGTTGCGTTTCCACGATGTGCTTCTTCGTCAGGCACTTGAGCGCGAACGTCCGGCTGCGGTCCTGTACATACTGCACCTGCAATAAACATGAACCTCGTGACGAGACTTAATCGCTGCTCTGTTATGCATCGCGAACGTACGCACATAAGCATAGCTTGCAAGGCAGCAAATGCGGTATAGTTTCTAAGTGGCAGTAATTTTGTAAAAGTGAATTCATAATAGCAACTCACTTCTAAATGGGGCAATTTAAGTGTGTATCACTCGCAAAATAAGGGATTGACTTCGCTATGAAGTGTCAATCTACAGGCATGGGTGTTACTTAAGACTGCAGCAAGTCTCTTAGGTGTGAGTCAAATAGATAAAATGAATGAAGGGTAAAAAGTGTGGATCAAGAATGACCAAGGCACTAATGCGTGACTGCACGTACATTATAGTTATTCTAGTGAATAAAAAGGTAGTCAAAGAAAATTATTTTCAATCGAGAAGGCATTTAAAGGCGTAATTATAAATGAACGGTAAATCAAGTGACGCAAGTGTTAACAAACGTGCACAAAATTTGGAGAAGGAACTTCAAGAGGAAATCACATACGTTCATTTTCACGAAGTGAATGAGCCCGAGTGATTAAAGCAAATTAGTACTGCCTCGCAGAGCACAGGATTCCGCCTGTGACCTTCTTAGCCTTACCTTAACGCACTCCGTTCATTTATTGCGATAGCAATTATATGGACACTCTCGACTGGATTTTACCACCGGCGTCGGCGTCGACATCAGCATCACTCACCGTGTATATATATATATATATATATATATATATATATATATATATATATATATATATATATATATATATATATATATAAGTATCTATACATAAAAAATGGGAGAATTGCAAAAAAACAGAACCTTCTGGCGCGCGGAATCAAACTTGGGTTCTCTCAATCGTGAACGCTTGGTGATAACCATTGAGCCACCGTGAAGCACGTTCTTTGCTGTTAAAATGGCAAGCTATTTATATCTACAACTTACCGCGGCTCACGGCCATATCGGAGGGAACTATCGTGTTTTCATAATTACCAGCAACATGGCACAATCAGCGTGCGTCGCCACATCATGCGGCAGCGCACGCTGTAATCTCCCACGTGTACTTTGCCCCACTTAGATGAGGAGAGCGACGCTCTAACGCGCGCACTTATCTCGCGGTGGGGAGGAGGGCAGCACCGTACGTCTTGGGTGGCCTCGGGCTTACCCTGAAACAATTCCGTTGTAGTTACCAGGTGCACAGCCGTAACTGATATTTTTGCAGCCTCCGTTTGCGAAAAGTACAGGCTTTTCAGACGCAGCAATATGACAACTAAGACGCCTTACACATGCATCTGTATATGTGAGCACGTTTCATGCGCCATTTGTGCGTGAGAAACGCGGGGCAGGTTTCGATCTGTTTTCCATTCTGCGCGTGACTTTCCAATTTGTTGCTATCGCGTTCATTGCTTCGCCTTTGTGGCAAAGCTGTGAGTTTTTTCCTTACTGTGTGAAAAGATAAAGAAAAGAGGTCATGACAAACAGAACTCTCTCTCGCTATGGCGAAAAAGGCCAAACAGGAAACAGTTACTATTTCTAGAGACGGAGATATGCTTAGTGGAGAAGAGATATACAAGGAACGCCTAATGAACTCTCAGTCTCAAAATGGTTGTCTTTTGAAAAGAGAAAGCCCTAGAAAGTAACGCATCAATCACCATGCTGTGAAATGCCTCAAAAGACATGGTTGGCTGCGAGTACCCCAGTCTATGTGGAAAGCGCGGATTTTGTTTTTAACTGGGGTGAACGTTTCTAATTTAATCCTACTGCTCTTCTCCACTACTATATAATAACAATACTGTACTTGTGCCTTGTCTATGCGTCATACAATAATAACGGTGAAGCACACGTTTACATTCGTCCAACAGTTAGTCAGTAAAGAAGTATACGTTTCTTTATGTGTAGCCTCAAGGGCCACACCTAAAAGCTGTTGGACAGGTACAAGAAGACACTTTTATATAACTCTCCAAGCTGATAAGTACGTGTATACTGAATGTGCTTACAGTTATCAAGCAATATTCGAAAGGAAAACGTGGTAAATATTCGTATGTAATTCTGTTACATGGAGAAGTACAATCCCCATTTCGTCACTGGCAAATAAAGAAGGGCAGTGATATCGTGTTCTTAACAGCCGTGACCCAGGTTGTGCTGAAACTCAGTGCTCTACGCGACAGTAGATAATAGAACGGAAATCTCAATATGCCAGTATACTCTCGCACAACGCGTGCGTATGCAAGAAAATGAATTGACTTTTTCCAGCTGCACGTGTGACCAGCAGCGAGTCTTTGTGATTAACTGACGACAAGCATTAAAAGAAACAAAAAAGAACACTAACACAATTTGGATGTTCTAAGAAAAAAGAAGATTGGTTGGATTTATAGGATTCAAAGCATATCAGTCGGGATGGTAACCGTGACCTTCTGAACGTTACATAGCACTATTCATTTGGGTGTGCTAAGGATGTGAGCACAACGCAATTCATTGCTTTCATAAGTTCGCCGGCAATTCAGTACATTGTAATTTTCTGGTTACTTTTCTTCTCGCCTCTAACTATGTGCTATGCCAGCGCATGTCAATCTGCAGGCTTTACCAAAAGCCAGAAGAAACACTCTCATTGGCGGTTCGGAAACCATTATCTATGTCTTTACATCAGTATCAGTGAGCAGGGGAGGAGGGTTAAAAATTCTGAATCAAGTTTAACGAACTCCCTAGTGTTTACGCGTATTTGTGCGCTGATTCCAAAGCCATATTTATTATTGTTATTGAACACGCAGTTTAAAAATATCAAACATGTTATAAACATTCTGAGGACAATACTTTTTTAGGATAGTAAAGGGGTAAATCAACACGTCACAAAGCCTCGTACTCACGGCATGTAGTGAAAAAAGAATGGATGTTCTGAACCTGTTTCAACAAGAGTTACGGTACAATGCACATTTGTGACTGCATTGAGCTAATAATTCACTCATCAATTCATATTTAACGCACAAATACACTAGTTCAGAGGGGCTCAGAACACTTATTCTTTTTTAACAACACAGAGTTCTCATTTAAGAATAACGGGATATGCTACTTAAGTTCGTAACTGTATCAGGTAAAAAAAAACATATGCTCCCAAATGTGCCTATGAAATGGTTGATATTTAAAAAAAAACGTCATAATCTACTAAAAAATCAATTGAATATATGAAATTACAAACATATACACAAACGCAGCAAGTCTAATTAAATCACATGAAGAATGTAAAAAAAGTTAGAGCTTATAAACAGAGTGAATGAGTATGAGTGGGGTGAAGCGTCCACCCGTCCGTCTCTCTGTCTATAGAACTAGCACCATCTTAGTGTGCATTGTTTGTGATATATATATATTTATATATATATATATATATATATATTAATATATTTTTTTATTTATTTATACTGCCAACCCTCACTTGAGGGTCATTACAGAGAGGGAAGCATAGGATATGGAAAGTAAATACAGACATTGATATTTTCAGCAACATTGAACAATAACACAATAGCATATTCATATCTCGGCAAAGTAAACATCAAGAGCACATTCCATTTTTTTAGCGTCAGAATTTTCAACAATATGTCGTGGCAATTTGTTCGACGCTTCTATAACATCAGGGAAAAAAGATTTGCGAAAGACGTCCGTGCGAGCACCGAAGGGGCGAACTGCCGCGTCATGATTGATCCGGCTGCTGAGCTTATGCGGGGGGTGTACGTAAATTGTTCTATCTATTTTTATTTGACCATGCAATATCTGAAAAAATACTTTTAGGCGCTGCTTTTGTCGTCTAATTCCTAGAGATTCCAAACCACTTAATTTTAACATCTCGGTAACCGAATCAGTCCTTATATACTTCGAACATATAAATCGCGCGGAAAGTCTCTGAATTCGTTCTAGTTTACCTATTAAATCCTTTTGGTGGGTGCTCCAGGCAGCACAAGCATATTCTAAAACAGGGCGCACAAATGTTTTATATGCAAGCAGCTTGACGTCTTTCGTAGCACTCGGTAATTTAGCACGCAAGAAACGCAGTTTTCTGTAAGAGGCACAGCATACATTCTCGACATAGGCACGCCATTTCAAATCATTCGTAATATGCACTCCCAAATATTTAAATGCACACACCTGCGGTAAATAATTAGGTCCAATGCTGTACGTAAATGGTAAAACGTGTTTTTTGGTAGTTATATGCGTATATGTTGTCTTAGAATAATTTATTTTCATCTCCCATTTATCGCACCATGTTTGAAAATCATCAAAACAATCAGATATATATATATATATATATATATATATATATATATATAAAATATATAAATCATCAAACAATCAGATATATATATATATATATATATATATATATATATATATATATATATATATTCTTTAATAATTCCTTTAAAATTCCTTTAATAATAAGAAACACTCTAAAGTACATGCCATCAAAACGTGTATTTGTCTTTTCTCTGATTTCAACACCAAGAAATCATTTCTTCGGAAACGCGAATCCCGAGAGACACCGAAAGCGAAAAATTTCGCTTCGTTGTAGGGCGCGCAATGCTATAGCTGAAGAAGCAGGAGTTGCGAGCCCGTATTCAGACTCACCGAAGTACCCGACTCCCTGCGCCGGCCAACGGTGAAGCGATGGAACGCAAGTCGCATGATTTCTCTTCACAAGTATAGATGGCGCCAGCACCACCAATACTCATTGCATTTACTGATTCAGCTTCTATATAGCTGCCACTCCGTGCTTCGCGAGTGCCATTGTCTATAGCCGCGAAGTTTTTTCGTAGCATGAAAGCTACGTGATATAGGCGCAAATGCAAGAGGTTGAGAGAAGCTTCTATAGCATCTTACTGTTGCGTCAAGCACAGTTTAATTGTTAGCGCTCTCACTTGAAAAATATAACAACACTAAGTTGGGGCAAAGAAGCATCTAGAATATCGCAAATGTAGGTAGCGCGTCTCCACATATGATGGTGCTTC